TATATATATATATAATTTTCCATATTCGGGAGGCATTCTCATTTGAAGAATAAGAATTTCTATTTGAAGAGATTATGCTTCGTCCAATATGCGTGCAGAATATAATAACGGGGATTAGAAATGCAGTCAATATATTTTCTAGAATTTAGGGAAGGATTTGTTATTCTATGATTCTAAATCCAACGACTTATCGTCGATTTTTTTTTTTTTTTTTGGATATTTTGCACATCTAAACCGGAAAAAACTCTCTAGTTCTTACGAAATGAACAATAAATTATCCAAACTCAACCAGGAAATTACGTTTTGCAAATAAGAAAATATAATTATTTCTTCCGGAAATTAAACGAAAATATATCAGATTTACGAATAAAATTTCAAAATTAAATTGTAAAATTTTAATAAAAACTTTAACCAAATCTGGATGTTTTGATAAGCTTTGTATAAAAGTTATTAGTGGGGCCTCAAAATATTTGTAAAAAAAATCATTTTATCAGAAATTTTAACGTGTGAGGGATCTTCTAAGAGCGGGGCCTCGCCGAAAAATCGACATCAGAACCGATCCAACTAATCCAACAACAATCTGAATGAATCGGACAATACAAGTCGACCCCCCTATAACACTGTTGATAATTCCGTTTTATCTGAATTCCATGTTGTACGAGTCACTTAGCTTTTACAAATACGTAAACCGTTCACAGCCCGGCCCACGTATTTGTAAAAGCTAAGTGACTCGTACAACATGGAATTCATATAAAACGGAATTATCAACAGTGTTATAGGGGGGTCAACTCTATATACCTCTATTATAAATGATATCTATCTTATAACTATAATTTAATTATGAAAAATTCCATCTGACGAAGCAGAAAAACTCTTTAAATGAATATATAACATTTAATTTTGTTTAAAGATTAAATAACTGGATTAATGTTTCTATTATAAATCATATTAATTATGAAAAATTCTAACAGTATCAAGAATTTTTATGTAAGTTTAAACTAAACTATAATTCGAATGTTAAACATGCAAACATCTGCATTTATACATGTTCAAAACTTACTTTTCTTAATGATACAATAATTACCCTGTTTAATGACGATAATGATAGACGATGGAAGTGATAATGATAATAAATGAACGAGTTTCACAATCTTGATAATATTGATTTCTGTTTAGACATTTGGAATTTCCTTTTATTAATTTCAAAATTACATAAATTAAATATTCTTAAAGAAAATTAAATAATTAATTATACTTATCAAGAAGAAATTCATTTGATTTGATTGTAAGAGAAGAGTAAATACCTCATAAAAATAATGGAAATTGCACATTCCGAATACTGAAAAATTTTTCTTGTTTTATTAATAAATTAAATTAACTAATTAGATTATTTATGGAAGACATTTTTAAAAATTAAATTAATAAAAAAAACAATTGAAGATTTATGTAATTTTAATTGTATAATCTTTGGAAAATACAGATTTTATTAGTGTTTTAAATTGAAAAGGTAATCATTTTCAGAAATAATATAAATACGTTTGTGTAATTTGACTTGATTACTCAAGACTTATTCAAAAAATAAGAGGAATTTTATAATTCTCCGAAGGGAAAATAAGATCTTAAATGAGAAAATCTAGCAACGAGTTGAGTAACTTTTCCGGCAAAAGAATTTAAATTTCGTGTGACGCCATCTGTTATAATATTTTATTTAAAAAAAAAACATTTTATATTATTAATTAATATAAAATGGCAAAACCTTAGGATAGAGACGAGTATTATTATTATATTTTTTAAGTTGTAAATGCTAATAACGAGTAAACTTTATTAAGTCCATTCCAACTCGAGATAAGACACATGTACTGTACCCTTTCTATCTCCTCACCCCTTCGACCTTTAGCTACCAAAATTTAACAGCATCAAGATCCCTAATATCCAAACCTCCTTGTAAAATTTCAAAAATTTTCGACATAAGGCACAGGAGTTATTAAGCTTCAAAGTGGATAAACAAAACATTTCTATCCCCACACACACTAACACCCTTACGTACAAAAAAAACACCAGAATTATTTTTATATCTCGAAGTTTGAAGGTTCCCTGAGTCCAAAAATATAAAAATCTTAAGGGGGATCATTTTTTTGACCGATCGCCATACGTTCCCTCTGTTATATATACCAGAGGAAAATATAAAAAGAGAAAAAAAAAGACAAAAAAAAAAAATATTTGTGGTTGCCCTATTGGGGGCGTAGCAAAACACACAATGGGCTTAGAAAAAAGTCTTTCCCGAGGATCTATTTCTAGGCCAATTGTAGATTTTAGGCCCTTTTCACACTACCGTTTGTCTTATTAAAGGCATGGCAGAACCCATTGTAGGTTCTGCCATGTCTCCAATAGGGCAAATAGTGGTAAGGAAAGTGGTCTGATATATCGGGAACAGACCACTCCCGAAAAATTCCTGAGAATTTTCGACCCTCTCCCCCGCTGCAGTATGCTCACGCCTTAATCGCCTCAACCATTTATTTTAATTAAAGTTATCTTCCACATTTCTCTCTTTTTTTCCACGCGCAAATCCTTGTGTTTTATTAGTGAAAATCCCTAATTTAAAGTTGTTCCAAGTACAAAGATAGCGAATAATGTATAATAAAATTTACTTACCGTTTTATACGACCTCATGGCAAACAGATTTGCCACCATGGTAGAAAATCCGGGTGCTAAACAACTTTGGGCAATAAAACCAAGTTTTAATTCGGCTAAACATATGACGTCGTCACCCCTCTTCCAGTTCCAACTCGGGATATTCAATAAATATGCCTATAAAATTATTTAAAAATTGAAAAATGTTACGTTATTTATGATTAGATAACGATAATAAATGTAACAGTTAACCAATAATCCCGTAGAAACGATCGTACTTGACTTTATGAGGTTTCTATACGAAACCTTAAAAATGTTGGATGAAATGGAATGAATTAAATGATAAATCAATAAATATAGAGTTTATATTTTCTATTTATTGATTTGTTATTCATAAAAAATTGAATATATTTGTTAAATATGAAAGGTGAGTTAAACATCGATTTGAATTTTTTTGTTTCTCAATCGATGCTTAACTACGTCTCTAAATATTCTAGTGTCATACGAAACTTATATCTATCTTTAATGGCTGAATAAATGACCATCGATGTGANTATATATATATATATATATATTAGATTACTTTAGAAGTGTGTAGCAAAAAATAAAATTCTATTTACGTCCCTGTAAATGTGTATTTTCCTGCTAATAATATGCAATGTGCCGAAAACAACTCCCAAAGGGGAATTATATTTATAAATACATCTTTCTTTTTGTATGTTAAATGAGTGTTTTATTTTTTCCTAACTTATATAAAACTAGAAACAAAAAAAAATAAGTTTATTAATCTTCATAAATAAACGTCAGAACGGGGGTATTAAAATATTTATATTATAAATAAAAATGTTTGGAAGAGAAAATTATAAAATTCGATAAATTTAATTTATATATACCATAAAAATCTTATTAAAAATCATAAAATTTAAAGGGTTTTTGAAAACGAAAACTGAATTAATTATTGATTTATTCGAAGACGTTAATTTTCTTATCTTCCATTCTTTGACCATAAATTCTGACTTCATTTATCATGTCTCAAAACGTACGAGCCAATTAAAATATTAAAAAAAATAATAATAAATTCGTATTATTCAAAAATTTTTATATCCATTAATTATTATTTTTACAACAAAGACGTCTGAGAATTTCCTATTGAAAGAATTAAGTTTGAGTAAAAAGAATAATCGTTTCGAAACGTATTTTTATTCTTAGAATTATTATAATAAGGTTATTATTCTTTGTCCATTATAAAAATACAACCAAGACTTTGCTTAATATTATAAAGTTAGAATTTTTATCTCGATAGATTGTCTATATCAATGCATAAAAATCGATACGAGGAAATATTAATGATAGAAATATAAATAAATAAGTGATGACAAGGACGAGAATTTTATATAAATAAAATAATTTTTTATAAGAAAAAAAGAATTACAATTAGGAACTATTTATATTTTCATTGAAAATCTTTATAGAATGTGTTAAAGATTTTCAACAGAAATATAAAAATATCAAAGGATAAATTTTGTTAAATTAACGTTAAAGGTAATTAAATTGAAAAATTATTAAACGAAAGAGAAATTGACTTAAATGGCTGTCAAGAATGCTTTTAATAAGATAAATCTCACCTGCATTAGGAGCTTACCTGGAATTGACAGTTTATTTCATTAACCTTCAGCTAAAGGCGGTGTAACCCAACCATATTTTTCGTGAGTTTTCACCAGACTTCGAAAGGAAGCTTCTGCAGATTTCCGGTTGAATTCCTTTCCACTTTTGCATTTTCGGGCTATCCGGCCTTGACCTTTGACTAAACTAGCAGCAAACTGCATGATGACTGCCTCGACTGTGTATGCCGATGCCCAACCTCTGGGTGTTAAGAGTTCCATGCAGATAGCACCACCTTCCATGACGAAACCCTTTTCAATATGGGGTGAGATCACACGCATGAATGGCGGAGAAAATGGAAAGTTTTCGGGGAAATTTATGTTAATCAGGACGTATGGTGTGTGTGTCTCTTGCATGTCTCGATAAAAATCTGATTCTGGATCGATCTGGTGAAGTTTTATGTTCCAATCGTATAGATTATCTTCTACCAATTCTACCGTGTATGGAGGTTTCTCTACGTTCCTCATCAACCTGGTCATCTCTTGATATTCCTTCATTAATCTTCTTGTACGTACGGCTTGATTATGTCTCATAACACTTTCTGATATGACAGAGTCTACTTTGGAAGACTTTTTAGATGTAGCTGGAACCGATGCATCCGCTGGACTAATTTTCGAGTCTCTTCTTGATACTCTAGGACTTTCATATTGGCCTAATAACCTGGCTGCGAATTGTCGACTTGGTGAACCACGATTCTTTTTTCTCCGTTCGTCAGAAAGTCTATCGGTAGATTTAAATAACTTCCTGAAAGCCGAAGCCATCTTTATGGGGCATCCAGCATTTCTCTAAATCATCTCCTGAAATAGAAGCATTTCTCAGAAAATTCTTAAATATTAAATATCTAGAAACGTTTATAATGTAAGCAATAATTAATGCAAAAAGCCAGGAAAAATATCATTTCGTATATAAAACTATTCAAATTAATTCTGCAGCATTTAATTATCTTTAATTAAGTGCAATTCAGATTGAATAATCAAATAATAATTTATAAAAATATATTTAATGAAAATAAAAATCAAATTAATAGAATGTATCTGCTCTAATAACTTTTATATAAGCAAAAAATAAAATTCTATTTACGTCCCTGTAAATGTGTATTTTCCTGCTAATAATATGCAATGTGCCGAAAACAACTCCCAAAGGGGAATTATATTTATAAATACATCTTTCTTTTTGTATGTTAAATGAGTGTTTTATTTTTTCCTAACTTATATAAAACTAGAAACAAAAAAAAATAAGTTTATTAATCTTCATAAATAAACGTCAGAACGGGGGTATTAAAATATTTATATTATAAATAAAAATGTTTGGAAGAGAAAATTATAAAATTCGATAAATTTAATTTATATATACCATAAAAATCTTATTAAAAATCATAAAATTTAAAGGGTTTTTGAAAACGAAAACTGAATTAATTATTGATTTATTCGAAGACGTTAATTTTCTTATCTTCCATTCTTTGACCATAAATTCTGACTTCATTTATCATGTCTCAAAACGTACGAGCCAATTAAAATATTAAAAAAAATAATAATAAATTCGTATTATTCAAAAATTTTTATATCCATTAATTATTATTTTTACAACAAAGACGTCTGAGAATTTCCTATTGAAAGAATTAAGTTTGAGTAAAAAGAATAATCGTTTCGAAACGTATTTTTATTCTTAGAATTATTATAATAAGGTTATTATTCTTTGTCCATTATAAAAATACAACCAAGACTTTGCTTAATATTATAAAGTTAGAATTTTTATCTCGATAGATTGTCTATATCAATGCATAAAAATCGATACGAGGATATATTAATGATAGAAATATAAATAAATAAGTGATGACAAGGACGAGAATTTTATATAAATAAAATAATTTTTTATAAGAAAAAAAGAATTACAATTAGGAACTATTTATATTTTCATTGAAAATCTTTATAGAATGTGTTAAAGATTTTCAACAGAAATATAAAAATATCAAAGGATAAATTTTGTTAAATTAACGTTAAAGGTAATTAAATTGAAAAATTATTAAACGAAAGAGAAATTGACTTAAATGGCTGTCAAGAATGCTTTTAATAAGATAAATCTCACCTGCATTAGGAGCTTACCTGGAATTGACAGTTTATTTCATTAACCTTCAGCTAAAGGCGGTGTAACCCAACCATATTTTTCGTGAGTTTTCACCAGACTTCGAAAGGAAGCTTCTGCAGATTTCCGGTTGAATTCCTTTCCACTTTTGCATTTTCGGGCTATCCGGCCTTGACCTTTGACTAAACTAGCAGCAAACTGCATGATGACTGCCTCGACTGTGTATGCCGATGCCCAACCTCTGGGTGTTAAGAGTTCCATGCAGATAGCACCACCTTCCATGACGAAACCCTTTTCAATATGGGGTGAGATCACACGCATGAATGGCGGAGAAAATGGAAAGTTTTCGGGGAAATTTATGTTAATCAGGACGTATGGTGTGTGTGTCTCTTGCATGTCTCGATAAAAATCTGATTCTGGATCGATCTGGTGAAGTTTTATGTTCCAATCGTATAGATTATCTTCTACCAATTCTACCGTGTATGGAGGTTTCTCTACGTTCCTCATCAACCTGGTCATCTCTTGATATTCCTTCATTAATCTTCTTGTACGTACGGCTTGATTATGTCTCATAACACTTTCTGATATGACAGAGTCTACTTTGGAAGACTTTTTAGATGTAGCTGGAACCGATGCATCCGCTGGACTAATTTTCGAGTCTCTTCTTGATACTCTAGGACTTTCATATTGGCCTAATAACCTGGCTGCGAATTGTCGACTTGGTGAACCACGATTCTTTTTTCTCCGTTCGTCAGAAAGTCTATCGGTAGATTTAAATAACTTCCTGAAAGCCGAAGCCATCTTTATGGGGCATCCAGCATTTCTCTAAATCATCTCCTGAAATAGAAGCATTTCTCAGAAAATTCTTAAATATTAAATATCTAGAAACGTTTATAATGTAAGCAATAATTAATGCAAAAAGCCAGGAAAAATATCATTTCGTATATAAAACTATTCAAATTAATTCTGCAGCATTTAATTATCTTTAATTAAGTGCAATTCAGATTGAATAATCAAATAATAATTTATAAAAATAAATGATTCGATGTTAAATTTATTTATTTTTATTGTAAAGAAATTTTCAAAAAAATACATATTTTTTTTTTTAATATAATTTTTCCTCCCTCACTGTAATGAATAAAAGTAAAAGTAAAGGAAGATGTAATTAATTAACTTAATTACTTTCTTTCTCATTCGACGTAATAATTATATTTATTAAAAATAGTTTTAATTAAGAAAAATACACATTTTAAGAGCTTTTACGTTATAAGAAAGCGCACGCATCTGCATAAAATGTGTATTTTGTTAATCATTTTATTTATAATAAAGAAAAATTATATTAATTTTTTTTATAAAGAAAACAAATTCGGCAATAACATTTATTTAAATGTAATTAATATTTTAAAAAAAATTAAACTATAGAGAATCGCTCATTCGTTAATGATGAATGAATTTTTCTCTTCGCATCATTCATCGATTAGATGTGAAAAGCATTAAGCGAATTAATTGATTTATTTACAAAATAAATATTAAAAAAATGTATATTATTTTTTATAATCACTTTAATTTATGTAAAAATTGACATTTTACTAAATTTCACTAAAGAGCCAGAACATAAAATAGAATGATAAATTAACAATGAATATCCAATTAGAACATTAATAAATGTCATAAATTAATAATATACTAATGGTTCATTATGTAATATTATTGTTGTTAAATGAATTTAATAATTAAATATCAACAAATTTCAATTACGGGGTTTCATATTTTGTTTCTATTATTATTATTTTCTATAAAAAGTTCTTACTTGGGTAGGAATAGCATTGAATTTAATAGGGGATTGGAAGGGCATTGTGTTAACTGATTAAGTTTTTATAATGTTTTCTTTTATCTCGTAGCTATAATTTCCTCTATTAGATATTTTTAACAGTGTATAATTTTTAAAATATTGTAAATAACGATTTTTAACGCTTAATAAATCGAATTATTATTATTATAAACTAGGAAACTTCCATCTACAATTATTGACAGTTATTTGGAAGGATTCCAATTGACAGGTATTCGTTACAGTACTGGAAATTTACAAGAAAACAAGAGATTCAACCGTGCCAGAAATGAGTAATTATTTGTATAAAAGTATAATATAAAGTGATTTTTTTACAGTAAAATAAAGTAAAAAGAAATTAGTTAAATCGTTCGATAAAGCTATTTACGGCTAATTCGTTATCCCTTATAATCTATCCACTTAAACATTTTAAAGAATTTCATTAGAAATAACGATTCTTCTTGTTAAAATGGCATACCCAACGGTTAAAACCCCGAATATCTGACATTAGTTATAATTAATTACTTCAGAATATGAAAATCGATACGTCCATAATTGGTTCTTATTTATTTTTTTCTTTCCTCTTCTCTTAGACATTGATAACAAAGAATCTCTGATAATTTTCGATATAAATATCTTTAAAAATCGTTATATGTAAATTATACAGCGTATAATAAATGTTAAATTTAAAAAATAAAAATAAAAAAGAAATAAAAATGAGGTAAGAAGATTCGATATATATTTAATTTTTTTTTATTTTTTCGACAAAGATATATTATTATTTATTAAACGTACGAATAAATTATTCTTTAAGTGGATTATTTATCGGAAAAAAACATATTATTTGCCGCTACGAAAAGATAAAATATATCACCCAATAGATTAAGTAGACATCTCGCAACGTCAACAGATATAAACAATATTGTTTTTGGAGTGTTTTTTTCTTATTTTTTATTATTATTTTTCGCAAATTATCCGATTCTATCAATGGGGTAAATAAATGTCGAGCACTCTATTTGCTTTTCTGAGTGCATTTTGTAAGAGTTGTGATACCTTGTCAGTATCATCGATTACTGATTCGTAATGTTGACCTTTTCGGAGGGCAGCGTAGGCGACTGCAGAATACTTATCCCTTTCCTTTCATTCAAAACTAGTATTTTAGAGTATCTCTTTTATAATCGGACTCATCTATTTAAATTTCCTTCCATCTCCGTGTCCTTGAAAGTTAGTTTTTGGTAGGTGAGAATTGGATTAATGCCACAGTCTACCTTATTCTGCTCCAAGGACAATATTAAATTTACAGAGACGAATAATTTATATCGGAAATAAAAGTCTAAAAAACAATTGTTTGGAGATCGATCATTTAAATAATAATAATAAAATTATATTTTTTATGCCATTTCAGACATTAATTCGCCTTCGTATTATGTTCTCTTCTATTCGTTTAAAGGAAATAATTAAGATATTTTATATAAGTTGTGGCGTAAAATTACAAATTATATATACTTTATATACCTTAAAATTATTTATCTTTTGTGTTTTTAACAATCGTTAAAGACAATAAAAGCCAAGAGAACTGGGAACATTAATGTGCCATCCCCGAATCCATTAAGAGACGTTCATAAATTGAACGCAAAAGCAGCTTTCAACGTCTTCTGTCTTGACGTCACGAGAGATCGATTTGGAAAAAACCCTTCGCGCCAATAGTCTAGAAAAATACCGAGTTTGTCTGTCCATCCTCTAGTAAAGGATCGCTAATTCAAATACAGAAAAACACCCGCTTCAACTAAGCTAAGGTCTTACTAGTTACTCGGCTCCATTACTTTATTAAGAACCAAACAAGATAAGTTTTATGAATGTTCTACAACCGATCAATATTCTACTAATTTAATGAAAAAAAAAATAATAATTTTTTTTTCTTTTAAATTAGATTATCCGTACGAGACGTTTCTATAAAGTAAATTAAATTTTTTACGTCATATTGTTGTTTCTACCAATACAAAAATTCATTTTGTCAAAAACTTAAGAGAAAGCAAAAGATCCCTCCCCTGATTATTCAAGAAAAATGAAATTCTCTAGAGTAAGCTCTTCTAAGATCGACTAAGTTTGCTATCTTCCGAGTGAGATGCATACAGAAGAAAACACGATGTAGCTCCCATAGAGAAGGGAGGGAGAAAAAAAAAATTGAATTGATAGAGAAAAACCTTTTTGACTTTGGTAAATATCATTTCTGAGAAAACTTCATTTTTTGAAGATAGAAAAGAAAAAAAAATGAAGGAAAAAATTGAAATAACTTACATCTTCAATTACACAAAAGAAACTACATTGGCATAGACTATTGAAAAGTAGCTATTGTGAATGAAATATTAAGCTGCATCACACGTTAAGTTTCATGTTTTTCGTCAGAAAATAAACTACTAAATTCGATTTATTATATAAATTAGTTTTTTATAAGTGTTAAAATTACTTAAAATCTTTAGAAAAATATTCTTCTAGAAAAGAAAATGGTGTACGTTTTCGATATTCCAAACCGGATAAATTCTTATGTCGAACGACTTTATTTTATCGATTAGTAGCTATCACAACACATATAAAAGTTATAAACAATATCTTTAGACGTAAAGGCGTCTTTTGGATTTAAATAACCTTATTCCCTTATAAAAATAACATTATAATTACTTCGCTTATGGTAACTAACGGGTATACGTAAGGTATGTAATTTTTAAACGTGGAATTAAAAAAAAAAAAAAAATTTAATTTTAATTCCTATAAAAATTCCTATTTAATACAATAAATAACACTTATTAATCCGTTCTAAATCTAAATATACGTGTATATAATGATAAATTAACGTTTAATAACAATAGCAAATCGGAGACTTACCAGTACATTGGAACTCTGTGCCACACTATCTAGCAGACTAAAAACGAATGGCAGAGGGTGATCACGTGACTAACTGGCTCCTGCATTCGACTCGGCTGGAGCATGGCCACACTGCGAGGATCAATATCTCCCCTGCTGGAACCTATCTAAATATTCGACGTTTTAAAATCCAGATAACGACGTTCTGCTCTCTTACGTTTAAGTTTCGTTTCTATTGTTCAATAAATATACGGCTTAATTATAACTAATTACACGTAATAAATTGAGTCACGTGTAAAAAAAGAAAAAAGAAAGAAAGAAAATCTATCTTTCAAAATGTTAAATTCCGTGTGTTTTATAATCTTTAATAATTAATCACGTCTAATTTAAAATTTAAAATATATATATATTTTTAAAAAAAAATGTTTAAATATGTAATTTAATTTCGGGTTTACACCATACAATTTA